AAAGACAGGGGTCTCAATAAAAAAAAAAAAAAAAATGCCATCATGGCACGTTTGAAAATGCACACAGGTGCAGTTGCTATGGCAAACAATGCATTTATGCCAAGGGAACCCGTTTCGTACAACAGGCGGCTCTCCAGAGACGCAACGCGCTCGACACCAAATTGCAGGCTAAGCATCCTGGGTCGTGATGAATCATCACGTCGAGACAAATTCTGCACGAAAGGCAGTTTGGTGCCGCTGGGTAACCGATCGCAGGTGCAGGCAGGCCCACGGTTAGCCAAAGAAAACGCAGGTGGCGGGCCGTGCATTTTTTTTTACTTGGCTCTTCAGAGGGGGAATTATCCAATTCTATCCAACGCTTCAAAGCATGTCATGGTTATAGATTGGCATGGCAACGAAGGGGTGACCTACCCCCGGCTGCTTGGTCATGTTGTCCTCATCGACAGATTGAAGGAATCTGGATTCTGCAGACAGAAAATCTGTTTTCAGTGTTGAGCATTAAAGTGATTTCGTGGTAGAACCCGATAAATAAAGAAATAAATTGAGAAGCTCTGCAAGTACTATCATGATGGCCACCATTAAAATCAACAATCGAAAGGCTAGAGGGGGCCAGAATTTTTCATTGGAGTTACCTGTGGGGGGGGGTAGATTTTTTCGTGGGAGTGCCGGGGGGGGGGGGGGGCACATAGGATGCACTTGCTGACCAGATGTGTGGCAAAAATGCTACTTTGTAAATGGACAAAATACGTTCATACGTGCAAAATACTGTATAAGCTCCTGATTTATTTCAGATCGACAAATATTTGATATTTAGCGGCAATGTTGTGAAGAGGATTTGGTGTCCGTAAAAGAAAAAAAAAATGTTTGAAAACCATTTGAGGGGAGAGGGGGGTTAATCGAGGAGCCACAGAGAGGGTCCTAAAATTCCCGATTTTCAAAATAAAACTGATGATGTTCACATTCACTTCCACATTCTCTCTTCCTCAGAATCACTCTCTCACTCACACACACCGTGGACTAGAAAAGTTTGGACAGCCCTGCCGTAGACTGTCCATAGGTGTGAGTTGCTCCTACTATTTTGTTCCATGGTGACCAGACAAACAAGCGTTACCTCCAAAATCAGCCACCACGGCATGTCCGTCTTCATAAAGAAGAATATTGTGACTGCAAAGGAACACACGTGTCACTGGCAACAACATCGCTTTGCATTATGGCTGGGCCGTGTGTGTGTATGTATGTGTGTGTGTGTGTGTGTAAGAGAAACCCATGCCTGTTTAAATCTCGGTGGATGATGGGCTGGGTGAGGTTGTGCAGGTACTCCATCCCCTTGGCCACGTCCATGGCAATGATGAGCTTGGACTGCAGATCAATCAGCCTGTCCATTGACACATCATTAAAGCGCCGGCGAATTTTGCGCCGGATCAATGCCTTACCCCTTGCCAATCACAGACAGCTCTTAAAAACCGCCCGGTCGATCGGGCGAAGTGCACCTGGGCACGCAGTTAGCACTCGATCCCGATCGATGGCCATTGCCACAAAAGTGGAAGAATTGGTGGTGGTGGTGGTGGTGGGGGGTGGGTGAGTTGCTTCCAGGGACGATAATGAGACCGTCTGACTGCTTTGTTGTGAAAACATGCTCTTCTTGTGTAACACCCTAACTCTCTCTCCCAGTGGAAGTTTACTGTCAAACTAAACATCAAACTAAGACAGTTACAGTTTGTGTGTTTAAAACCACCACAGAGTTTGCCTTTAGGAAAGTCCACTGAGCCTCGTGTTAACAAGCAAGGCAAAATGCCATAGACGGCATACAACACAAATGTAGTTTTGTTATTTTTGTGGGCAGGGGTAGAACGTATGAACTGCATTTCCATCCACTGAATCGGGAATGATAATTGAAGATATGAGTATTTTAAATAATGAGTCCAGCTGAAGGACGCAAGCGGCCGCCTCCCTCACCTCTTCTGCTCATGCAACAGCGCGAAGAGCGAGCCCCCCGAGATGTACTGCGTGACGATGGCGAACTGGCTGGGGTCGTCCAGACAGGCGCCCACAAACTGGATGATGCACGGGTGATTGAGGCGACACAGGATGGACACCTCTCGGCAGAACATGTCCACGTCTGACTTGGAGCAGTACGTGTTGGCTCGGTAGCTGCAGACGACGGCCAAAGCGTCAGAAGAGCGGGAGGCGGAGGAGAAAAGTCCACGAGGTGGAGATTTACCGTTTAATTGCGACTATTTTGTTGCGGCACTTGCCTTTGTAAACTCTGCCGAAGGAGCCTGTGAGTAAAATAGAGTTAGACTATTGTAAGATTGAAACAAAAAAAAAAAAAAAAAAGAAAGAAAAAAAGTTACCAGATCCAATGATTTCATTAAATTCCAACTCGGAGAGCTGAAGATGGAAATGAGAGGGGAGGCTGGCCCTGAGTAGAAGAACTTCAGCTTTCTCTGAAATGAAACACAGTGAACATTTTTCGGTTTCGGGATCGTCAACTGTTTGCAGCACTGGTGTCAAACTCATGGCTCGGGGGCCAGATCCGGCCCGCCACATCATTTGATGTGGCCCGCGAAAGCAAATCAAAAATGTCAACTTCTATGATGATTGCTCAACTCTGTACCAAGATTTCAATTTTTCATATGTAATAAATAAGCGAGATATTGTCAGCATTTTCTTGTTGCCAAAAGCCCTCATGACACCAACTTAACAATCGCTCAACGAACCATTATTCTTGACTTCTTGATATGTTTTCACAGTCATAACGGCCCTCCAAGGGAAACAGTCACTACAATATGGCCTGCGACAAAAATGAGTTT